CTGGAATAATTTAGAGAGGTCTTAAAAGAAGACAGAAATTCAGCTAATAGGATTGTAAGAGGGTGTTTCAGGTGTGGATAAAAGCAGGAGCAGAGAGGTTTAGAGGAATGAATTAGCTCGGCGCTTGTGGGAACAACAAAAGAAAACCATTATGAGTTATGCAAATATTTTAGAACATTTAAAATGTGCTTGGAATTCTACATTTAAGCGATGTATTAATGAATTCTAAAATGATAAGATGGTCAGAAAGACTGTAGACAGCACTAAAAACCAGATAATTATAATTACAGCCATTTAAATTGAAAATGTAAATAAATGTGGTAAGTTAGACTACTGTCTATAAAGGCATTATATCATAATGACTATGAACATTGCTCCTGGAATCAAATCAGGGTTCTAATTCTGGCTCTTGGTTTCCTCCTTCTTTGTTATCTTGATCTTGGGAAAAGGACTCAAACGCTTTGATCTTTGGTTTCTTCAACTCTAGATGATGATAATAGTAAAACAAATAAATAATGAAATAAATTTACATAGCCCATAAATTTTCCCGGGATGATTTAGTGAAACAATATATGTAAAGATACATTAGAGCTTAGGGTACAGTGGATCCTCTATAAAGGTGGTAGCAGAATATAGTGAGCTCTGGGTTCAGACTATTCAGATTAAATTATTGGCTCTGAACCAATAACTAACTTATTCAAGACTTAATTATTCAAGGTCTTACTCCTTTCTAAAAATGGGATAACAGAAGTAATCTACAATATTAGTTTTCTTTTTCTGTATGTCAAATCACCACTAACTTAGCAGTTTAAAACAACAATTTATTAGTTCATAGTTCTAGAGGTCAGAAGTCTAGGTAGTCTTGGCTGAGTTTTCATATTGGGGTTACAGAGAGTTAAATCAAAATTTTAATAGAAGGTAATTTTGGATATTAAATAAAAAGTTTTAGAAATGAAAATTAGTTTTAAAACACAAAATTATAAAAAAAATAGTACTACAGAGGGTAATTTTATCACATATTCTGAAATTCTATATCTAGTTCTTTAATAATTTTCAATAATTACTTTTGGTAAGTATTATTTGTTGCATGACAAATTAAAAGATGAGGTAAAAAATTTCTAGATAATTTAATGGGGTGGAAAATAGAGAATAATTTGAATCAGTTATTCAGAAAAATTATTTTTAATTTCTGTATATAATTATTGGCTTTTATTTATTATCATCATCATCAACATTACTCCACTACTAGGCTAGGCCCTTTATGCTCCCTTATAACTTACCAGTATATGTTTGGTATTTTTACTAAATCTATTTTGCAGATGAGAATACTGAGGCTAGGCAATTAACAGACTTCAAATTAAGGGAGTTATAGTGGTAGAGATAGTATTCAAACTCAGATATGTCTTAATTCTACCTCACACTTAAAATCCAGGCAACTGTTGGATCTGTTCCAGAATCCACACCTGTAGCTAATAAGAATAATCCTTGAAAATTGTCTTAGTTTGTAACAAATAAGGGTTTTTATAACTAATTATGGTATACTGGATGCCTTAAACAAATAAGGGTTTTTATAACTAATTATGGCATCCTGGGTGCCGTCAACAGCAAATGTTTATTTCTCATGATTCTGGAGGCTGGGAAGTCCAAGATCAAGGTGCCAACAGATCTGGCATCTGTTGAAGGCCCATTCCCTGCTTCCTGGTTCAAAGACTGCTGTCTTCTTACTATGTCCTCATGTTCAGAGTGAAGGGAGAGATCATTTCTCTGGTCTTTCTTCTCATAAGAGTACCCTTTAATGAGGACTTAACTTTCAGGACCTCATTTTCCCAAAGGCTCCACCTCCAATTAGCATCACATAAGGAAGTTAGGCTTCAATATATAAATTTGGAGGGAATAGAAACAGTCAGTCCAAAGCAGAAATCAAGAAACTTTCTACAGTTTCTTTTTTTGTTTGTGTTGCTGCTACTTTATTCTGCTCTGTTTTAAAGCATTTCTTTCCCAAGTTATTTTCCTTGTACCAATAAGTCTTTACTATGTTAACATGTGTTCTGAGAAAAATCTTCTCAACGTAAGAAAAGTAAAGTCTGCAAAATGGGGAATTAAATAACTTTGAAAAAGTTTCTTAACCACAGGACTTTTCAAAGTATTTAATATGCTAACGTTCAGCATGAATCTCTAAGAGCCTGCTTTAGTATGCAATGTTTCCCAAAATTATTTGACCATGAAAAAACTTTTTATCCCCAGAAGCCTATTAACATCTCGGGGAAAGGAGGCCTGCGGAAAACAATTTGAAAAGTGCTGTCTTCAAGTGATGTATAGATTCATTTTTGGCACTTTAGGCACATATTTGGAGAAGCTATAAAACTGTAGGCCAGATCATAGTGATTAGGAAAGGTCTCCTGGCACTTTATGTGAGGTAAAAGATTCATGATTTAGTTCTGTCTTTTTTTTTTTTTTTTTGGTATTTTATTTCATTGTTTAAATAATTCAATCTCTCTGTTCTTTTCACTTTTCTTATATCCCAATTCTGAAGTGTCTATGTATGAGTTCAGTGCGAGTGAAGTGAGTCTTCCCAGTGTAAATTCAAGGTAAAGTGCCTAGAATCTTCAAAATGATCGCTATCACTAGTTGGAAAAAAAGAGGGGATAAACATGGACATGGGGCTATGGATTTAAGATAGTGTATCAATTTTCAATTTTTTTGGTTGGAAATGGGACTTGAGAAAATAAAGGTATTAAACTAGTAACATAGTTCCTAAGTTTTCTACCAGGTAATACAGGATGGCATTTGCTCTCCTCACTCCAAGTATCTGGGAATAGAATATGCATTTTAATGCAGTTTTATTTCCTCTGGAATTTTTTAAAACCCTTCTTTAAATTTAAAAGAAAGATAAATGTTTAGTGACACGCATTGTTGCCAAAAAATCTTTTAACTTTCCAGCATGCTTAAGAACATATATTATCAAAAAAGTGGAAATAACCAGGCAATAAAATAGGAAATTAAGCAAATCTGTCAACTGCCTCTTTTCCCTTGAATACCTACTTCATCCCAGAGAGACCAGTTTCTATTTTTAGATTCATTGGGATTTAATAATATCTGTTAGAAATACTACCTTAAAACTAATAACACCACATATAAGACATCTCATTTCAAAGGTTAGAGAAGTACTCCAGCGTGACCATGCTGCAGGCTGGCTGAGAGCATACTTCCAAAATTAAGTAATAATGATGTGCCTAAAAGTTGGAATTTGTTTGAAACTAATTTGCTACAGACTCTGAACAATGATGCCTTACTTTTAACATGTGTGGCTTTAAGCATAAACATAGACAATACATAAATGCATTTCCCCCTTTCTCTTAGCAAAGTGATTTTTAAAATCTGTATTCTTACCTTCCTACCAAACATAAGATCTGAATAAACTCTGTTCTGAAAGGTCTTTTCCCCCCTGTTGTCAGTGTCTTTGCCAGTGATAGATTTTAATACTCCCTAGCAGTATTCATAATATTACTCTTCCACCCGTCTTGCATCTTGAGTTCACTTCAAATTCCAAAAGAAAGGTGGGAATTGAAGTTTAACGGACTCAAGGAGGCACACAGAGATGAAGTTCCGGGCTAATTGCCTGCTGTTATTATTTTTTTCTTTTTTGAAATTCTACTTTCAAAACGTTTCTTTCAATTTATCTACATCTGTATTTCTGTCTCTCTCCCTAACTCCCTCTCCAGGAAGAGAAAAAAAAAAAAAAAAAAGAAAGAAAGAAAAAGAAAAAAGCCCTGTTTCATTTGGTACCTGCAACTGCTGGGATTGAATCCATATACAGTAAGCAATCATTCTAACCGAAAAACAGAGCAGAAAGCACAATTGTAACCCATGGGCTGTATTTTTGGTTCAATCACTTTCACTACAAAAAATAGTCCATTTATATTGGTGGATAGCAAGAAAATTTGATCCACCTTAGTGATGCTTTGGGAATCTGTCCTTGCCTTCTATTTTCTTTCACAAGTCCCCAATTTCGCCCCCCTATTTCTCACGGGAGACAGATGTCCTGCTTAACAAGATGCATGTCTCCTACTCACTTTCACCCTTTGCCCCAGTGAACAGATGAGCCCACGACCCTCTCTCCCCAGCCCTGGAGCTCAGCAAAGTGCAGACAGAACAGCAGAGCAGCCCTGTCTTCGCGGTTAGAGTTGGCTGCTGACTCCATTGCACTTCCTGAGAAATCCCGGACAATTCACTTTGAAGGGTCTCCCACGAAGCCTTGTGCCCCAAGAGCCACTTCTCAAAACCTAACTTCTTTTTTTCTGGCTCTACGGAGAAAGCAAGTTCAGGGGTCTCTTTAACATGCTTAATTACAAAGTCAACGCAGGAAAGCAAGAGACTCTCCGACACGAAGGGTGCACCTCTTAACCCGGAGTCTCCGGTGTGTATACAGAGGAGGTACAGGCGACACAGTAACTTCAGAGGTGGTGGCAGGTGCTCGGGTGTGGCTGCGGTTGTCTCTCCAGGCTGAGAGAGGGGAGAGAGGGAGGGAGACAGGGAGGGGGATGAGAGGGGCGGCGGAGAGAGAGAGAGAAAGAGAGAAAGGGAGATCTGATCAGGGGAGGGAATCAGAGGGAGGGCGGGAGGGAGGGCGGAGGCGAGGGGGTGCAGGGGTGCGGACCGGCGCCGGGGAGCGGGGAGCGCGCCAGCCAGGCTCCGGCTCACACGCACGCCGCCTCTGTTTGTACACAGTGCGCTCCCGGCCGCCCGCTCGCGCCCCTCCAGCTCACGC